CGTTCCAAGTGGTCCCTTCCATTGTTTTCATAATAGACTACCTGACTTCCCTAAATTTTGGTGAAACTTATCATTATTACTGTAATAAATATTTGCAGTTGGTTTTCTCTATTAAAACCAGGATAATAAATAATAAATAAAATAAATATTTCCAACACTCACACTAATTAGCCTAGCCCCAAAGTAAGCACTGTAAGGCTTGTGTTATGGGATACTAGGGTAACGGATAGAATACATATATTGTACATATATAAGTATATTTATAAAGCAGTACATATTAAACATGTTGATCCATGACTGGAGTCCAAATGCTCGTATTCATCACACAAACATCTGCCCCAGCGGGATTCGAACCCGTGACCTCTCGAGTCGGCGACACCATGAAACCCGGCGTACAAACCACTCAGCCACGGAGGTCGTCAATTTATAAGTACTTACCTACTTGTTAATTTTTTTTTCATTGACTTTACATTCATACTAGTTGGCCCGGCGAAATTCATACTAGTAGTCTAGTAGGCGTTAAATGTGGTTATCTTTAAAATTGTAGCTAAATTAAAGTAACGATTTTACTGCTGAAATAAAACAAATACAAAAAAAAAGTTCAATAATTTATTAGGATAATATATCATAGAGGATATGAAAATTCAATAACGTTAACCTCAAGGGCCTATCAGCGAAATTTAAAACGGGGTTAATTGGTTGCCAGGTCTTTGCCAAATATTCTCCGCAAACACAGCCATCCCTTAATCTCTCATTACCTTAAAACTTCTTGGGAAATTAGGAATGGTTCTATATTTTTAGAAACTATAACCGTTTATAGTAAATTTTACGTCATGTTGCAAAGAAAATTATTATAACGATACTTGCAATATTAAAGTTATATCAAATTCAACGTCTGCTTGCCAAAATATCAGCAGTTATAGCAACGTGTCTTATGATTAGAGTACAATCTTTAAATTACAATACTCCTCTAGATTTCAGCAGGCTATTTTCCCATTTTTTTTCTTTTGATTTCTATTTCAAAATATCTATTGGATTGAAGTTACTGATTTGCAATACTAATAAGCTTTGCACATGTGTGACGTCATCTGTCAATTGTGAAAGATGGCGGAATACGAAACCAAAGCTATTGGAATATTAATTTTGCAAAATAGTTTATTTCCGTGATTTTTCCGATATTTTATTAGTTATTCTGCTATTCGTAGTGGTGAGAAATCCAAATAATCAGAGCTCATTCAAATCGGTCTAGCTGTTCTTGAGTTATAAGTGGTGTAACTGACACCACTTTGTTTTCTATACAAACGCAGTATTATATGATAAAAATATTATATAGAATTTTCGCGAAATTCCTAGGGATTTTGCGAAAACACGGATAATTAGATAATGCTCAATCTCTACCAACTTTTTTCTGGCGCTTCGCCGACGGCTGCCGTGGCACGCTTGCTTGGCACGCGCGTCACAGTCACAAAACCAACTTAACCTACTGTAAACCCAAGAACCCAAAATCCCAAGAATATTTATAATAAGCTAACGATTCCTTTCGCAATCTTACTGAGGTAGTCAAGTTTTCTCAAAAATCCTATCTTTTCTCAGTATAACACTGGGAAATGTCATCGCGATTATCTAATTATCCGTGTTTCCGCAAAATCCCTAGGATTTAGGCGACCATTCAATTTGTCAAATCATCATACGCTATACATAATTATAAACCTAAGTAGAATTCCATATTTTTGTCAAAATCTATTGTGGACTTCACTAAAAAGTGGCTGTGCCTCGCGGTTTTAGCCGCGGTTTATTAGGGAAATTTCCCCGCAGTAAAACATAGCCTATTTGTTAAACCAGGGTATCAGCTAACTCCATACCAAATTTTATTAAAATCGCTCCAACCGTTTAGACGTGAAGAAGTAACAAACATACATACTCACAAACTTTCGCATTTATAATATTAGTGTGTTAATATGGCTAAGCATTTATAAAATATCTGATTTTGTATTAAGTAGTATTGGGAAGTTGATAGTCCTTAAACCTAGTGAAATTCCTATTAAGTTCATACTAGGGGGCTCTGTAATTTAAGCTCTAGACCACACAATTCATGAGGAAACATAAATAACTGTTAATAATACATGTATTTATTGTATATTATAGGTTTATAAGACATTATCATAATTTGAACTGATTTAAGTAGTTTAAAATAATATTTAATATAACAGAATTAAAACAGTTACATGCTCATCAAACAAAACATAGGTAAGTATTGCAATAGGTACAATTTAATTATATATAGTAATAGTATGTCAATTGTTCAAAAGCAAGTATTTTATTGGTAAAATTGGCATCACATACTAAAAAACAAAATTTTATTAATTACATCCGAAAAAATCGCTTTAAATAGATATGAACAAAACCTACTGGTCTTTGCTCATTTCAATCTATTAACCGGGGCAGTTGAATGAATGAACGAATGAACAGTATTAACAAATTCTACATAATTCTAAGCATGCACATATTTTTAGCATAAAAATAATAACCTATAGATTAAGCTGTGTTAGATTACAACTTAAATACTTACTTGTAATGAAACGAATCTACTTTTTACATTAATTCAGTAATGGTTTAACAAAATTGACTAATTATATTAATTCGACCGACCGACGACGAGCTTCGTGGCCGTGTGGTTTATACGCAATTATATTATAAAGGCGAAAGTTTGTGAGTGTGTATGTTTGTTACTTCTTCACGTCTTCTTAATAACCGAAACATTGTGCTGGAGCGATTTTAATAAAATTTGGTATGGAGTTAGCTGACACCCTGGATCAACACATAGACTACGTTTTACTGCGGGAAACTATACGTAATAAACCGCGGGTAACATCGCGGGGCACAGCTAGTCATATCTACCTACTCTACAACCGTGGACACTGCATTTAACACAAAGAAACTTTTCCTTTTACATTATAAAAACGACGATTAATGACAATCTGTATAAGTACACCAAAAAAGCATCGATTTTCATAGAATCTATGTTTGAGCTTTATTGGTTTTATAGTAATGGAGACAATAAAAAAATCTTGTCTCTGGCTTCAGTATTTTTTTCAAGTCAAAAAACTTATGAATGCTATTGTAGCTAAGTTAGATATATTCATTTACCTAACTTAAATTCTACATAATTCTAAGCATGCACATATTTTTAGCATAAAAATAATAACCTATAGATTAAGCTGTGTTAGATTACAACTTAAATACTTACTTGTAATGAAACGAATCTACTTTTTACATTAATTCAGTAATGGTTTAACAAAATTGACTAATTATATTAATTCGACCGACCGACGACGAGCTTCGTGGCCGTGTGGTTTATACGCCGGGTCTCATGGTGTCGCCGACTCGAGAGGTCCCGGGTTCGAATCCCGATGGGGGCAGATGTTTAAAATATGTATTTCTATGTAAATATACTTATATATGTACAATATATTTATTCTATCCGTTACCCTAGTATCACATAACACAAGCCTTACAGTGCTTACTTTGGGGTTAGACTAATTGGTGAGAGTGTTGGAAATAATTATTTATTTAATTTTATTTGTATCAAGGTAAAGAAATAATGCGCCTTCTAGCTTCGCTCTTAAACAGCTGACATAGTAAACCTATTCAAGTATAACTTCTTTGTCCTATCATAACTTTGTTATACCTATCTGAGAACTTCATTTATGATGAAATAATATTTAAGAATAACTTTATTAATATCAAGCTGCAATTTTAATATAACAAAAAGACGTAGGTACTTGCGTTAGGTAGCAGAAACATCATTAACTTTAACAAAAGCTGTTTTTAAAAACCATCTTTTTTATATTTTCAAGCAACCGTTTTTTTAAGTAAACCTATTTGCCACAGAGTAAGTACGTTGTATTCGCCGACGGACGGCGCGGCGCACGCGTTCATATACAGACAATCAAAATGTCAAGACATAATAATTAACACAATAAACTTAATTGCACGTTCCTACTAGATTACAGTTAACTATTAACTTATAATTAACTATTAAGATATTTCTTATGTAGAACATAATGTTAAAAAAAATCTTTTAATGTGGTGAACAGGTGTCGAAACGCGATATGTTTTTGTGAGATGTTGTTTCTGAAATATAGCTAGAGGAGAGTAAGTATTGCTTTTGGCTTTTGTTTAATGAATTTTATTATAAGAAAGCTTTTGCGATAATTTCTAAACATAATCCGTTATAAAGTTATCAGTATCAACCTATATATATATAGGTACCACAATAAGATCATATTTGCTTGCTAAAAATCATTAGGTCTCATTGCTCTTTATGAATAACTTATGGTCATCTTTTAATGAACTCTTAACAAATTGATATACATAACTTAGTACATATATCAATAGCTTTATTTTTTGTATTAAAATTAATGTATTTTAATAGCTATGTACTTAGTTTGAATTTAAACATTATATTTTAAATCTTGCTTCAAATCACAAAAATCTTCTACAAAATAGGTATTCTGAAGCTACATTTAATAAGCAGTCTAGGATATTTCATATTTTAAAAGAATAATCCTATTAAGTTCATACTACAAAAGGATATCTTATTAAAATAAGCAAGCTAATTAGCAGCGGCACTAATAATATGCACTATTTTCAGTTAATAAACTTTTCGTTTTTTTTATATACAAGACATGATGAGATAGATTGACATTGAATCTAATTGGATCAGCTCGATCATACTAGGAGTATATATAGTAGGTATATATACTGCTACCAGGTATAATTATATACCTATATAGCATCGAACTACATATTTAGGATAGCTATGCTATTGTTCTAAGACACTTAGAACAATAACTTAAAAGAAATAAGATGACTCTAGCAAATAAATAATTCATAATAATAATAAAAATCGATGTCTTTTGATGTTTGTAGGTAAGTAGCTAATATAAATAATAATCAATCGTGTTCATCCAAAGCAAAACTGATTCAACAACACTAACCTGCGAGGCGGGCGGATACGAATAGCCGAATTGCGCATACGCTGCCATCGGGACGATCATATGGGCGGCTTCACACAAAACACTGTCTCTCAAAGTCTTTAAGCACGGACGTACGAGTTTCCTTAATACTAGCTAAAAGTGAAATTAAGTAAACGTATCACAGTTGGTTGATTGCGCGGCGGCTGCGCGGCGCGCTGCCATCCCGGGCGTCAGCGGGCCGGTGCGCGCGCGCTTCGCATGCCGGGTGACGTCGAGTATGCGGCCGGCCTATACCTTGTTTACGCGTTCGAGTCTTGACACAGACTGGCGCGCGTACGACGCCTGCCGCCCCTCCGCCGTAGGACAGAGCCAATCGCGCTCCTCCCCAAGGGCGGAACTCCCCTCTATCCACCAATCATCGCAGCGATCTTCCATCCTTTTCGTGAATCAGCGCGCTGTACAGCGAAACGATTGGCGTAAGCTATCCCCACTTTCGACGCGGCTCCGCCCATTCGCTGAGCACCGCCCACGTCCGGGTGGGGCGCGGGAAAAAAGCGGCAGAGTCGGCTCAACTTGATCATGTTTATGGGTTTCCGTGGAGACAGTCCGCCAGCTCTGTACCGCGGCCAAACAAATCTCTGGTGGCAAAAAAATGGCTCGGCCAACGACGACAAGTTGTTTCACCTCCACAGATTTACGAACAACGCCGCGTAGAGTTAAGAATTTACTTTATTGTCCTTTACCTGTATCGGCGCCGTTGGCGTTTTTCATGCGATTCCTCCTTCAAAGAGCTCGAAATATAAAGGCTAAGGTTTACGAGACACAATCTCACTATTTCTGACACGTGTGTCACAAAAAGAAAACATTAACGCTCTTATTAAAAAAACGAGGAATAAACATAGACTAGTTACGCCGTATTTTGTTCCTAACACTCAAATGCCATGTGTCATTCAATGAACAGAGAAAAAACATAGAGTTACTAATCTAAGCTTATTCTTCCTTCATTATAAGGGCGTTATAGCTTTCTCGTTTATTTTAGGTGTTTTCACATAGTTATTGTCAATATGAGTTTTTGTTTAAATTCCAATGCTGAATGCTTGCTTAATTTAAGAAAGATTAATACCTACTTAAGAACTAATTCTTCACCGGTACATTACAATATCGCAAACAGGCGAGCGTTTCGCCCGCTTAAAAAGCAGGCCAATTGAAGCATTCGCCAACGGCTGCGGAGGACGTTACGCCGCGACGTACTACAATATTAAATTTGCATTTCGTAGAGTTTCCGCGGGTGCGTAACAGGTGGCGCTCTCAGCTAGCGGAGCCCTTAAGACACCCCCGCGTTTATTATAGATATCACCCCACAATAGATACGGGTATCTTGAGAACTTCATATTTGAATGTGCAGTGGAAAAATAGTGGATGGATATATTATTTCATTTTAACGTATGCCTACTTTAGACATTGCAAGGTGTAGGTAAGTTTGGCCCGTAGATAGTGCTGTGTAAAAATAGGGAATGGATTTTTTTTTCATTGTTTAGGCTAACATATTTTTAACACAATCATATGTGTGGGGGTGAAATATTTTTTTCAGAATTTTCACCTCGCTCTACTTTATCCTGACTGTATTTATTTCCGTGATACTTTTTTATATTTTCAGGTATAGGTTCAATACATATTAAGTTAAATTATAGATACTTTACGGAACTACAATGTGAATAGTAATAGGAAGCTAAAAACATTTGTATGTGTATTTCTGTAGAAAACTAGATGTTTACTTCTCTACAAAAATACACATAAAAATGTAGAAAAGTAAACTCTACTTTTCTACAGAAATACACATAAAAAATGTTTTAAGCTTCCTATTACCATTCACATTGTAGTTCCGCAAAGTATCAACGAGGAATCTGAATAAAAAAACTCTCACTCCATATTACATGACTTATAGTCCAAGATCCCAGGCTCGCCAGACCTTACTTATTTTCTAATTGAAAAAAAAGGATAATCGAATAGTATTAATGTGTACAGTGAATGTATAAGTCCAACTTAATATATTTAATGTTAAAAGAGGGGCAAACAAGGGTATAGCCGACCTGACGGTAAGCGGCCACCATATACACGGTTAATTTTAAAACACCAACAACCTCTTAGGGGGTGATTCTACCCATCAACAGGAACAACTTTTATCATGGGAAAACACTGAAATCGCAAAAAAAAACTGTTGTTTCAGACAAAAGTGCATCATCTAATCGACCGAAATGTATGAAACAGCTGATTTTTTTCGCGATTTCAGAGTTGGTCCCACAATAAAAGTTGTTCCTGTTGACGGGTAGAATCACCCCCTAAGAGGTTGTTGGTGTTTTAAAATTAATCCTGTATAGCCTTATCACGGTTATATTATATTAATATTACCGTGGCCTTATAGACGCTTGCGACACCAAAAAAATCACTCGTATCGATGCCTTCAATGACCCAATCCCCTGCCCCGTGGGCCCCCTGAACCTTATTCACCGACCTTAATACGACCAATAGGTGTTAGCGACTTCCCCCAGATGGACGCTCTAATTCGAGCGGAAAATCAGCTATGCTTTACCTTCTTAAAATAGGATTCGTAGAAATAATTTTCATTTTCAAGACTAAAGATAACAATTACTTTGATTCACAATATAACACAATACCAACACAGAATAACGTTACACTTAAAAAATCTGAATGCAGAAATCCTTATGGATTACCCTCACAGAACACATCAAATTATGAAACTTTACCAAAACTCGGTTCTCATGGCGTGGCATGATTAGTTCGATTGTTTGATGTCGCGTCGTTTGATTGGCTATTATCTATCAGGTGGAATTGTCAGAATGCAGAAATCCTTATGGATACCCTCACAGAACACAGAAAGAGGTTAGAATGCACTCCACAGTTGTGTGTGAGCAAATACTCATAACTTTACCAAAACTTGGTTCTCATTGCTATCGGATACGAGCGCTGATTGATTCGGTTGTTTGATATCGCGTCGTTTGATTGGCTATTATCTATCTGGTGGATTTGACAGAATGCAGAAATCCTTATGGATACCCACACAGAACACAGAAAGAGGTTAGAAGGGCCTTGTGTGCGGGGCAGGCACTCCACAGTTATGTGTGAGCAAATACTCATAACTTTATCAAAACTTGATTCTCATTGCGTCGTTACTCTCGGATGTGAGCGCTGATTGGTTCAATTGTTTGATGTCGCGTCGTTTGATTGGCTAATATCTATCAGGTGGAATTGTCAGAATGCAGAAATCCTTACGGATACCCTCACAGAACACAGAACGCGGTTAGACGGGCCTTGTGTGTGGGACAGGCACGCCACAGTAATGTGTGAGAAAATACTCATAACTTTACCAAAACTTGGTTCTCATTGCGTCGTTGCTCTCGGATGTGAGCGCTGATTGGTTCGATTGTTAGGTGTCGCGTCGCTTGATTGGCTATTATCTAACAGGTGGCAGTGTAGTGAGGCCGAGTCAGCGACACCCTTAAAACCTCTTTATGTTTTATGTGGATACCCTATAGCTGGCTGCAGGGTTATGCGAGACTCTTACTGACTATAACACACCCATGAGGAGACGCCTGTGGCCATAAAGGCCTCATAGGCTTCATCTGATGCGATCGTCCCCTGAGAAGGGGATGATGCACGCACAACGATGGCTTTTCAATCTTCAACACAGCAAAAATCCATAACAACTAACTAACCTAACACTACAACCGGCAATCAATCAATTTGCAGAAAGAAAATCACAATATAATCCGTTAATTGATATATTTTTATTATTGTTTCTCTAATGGAAATGCGAGATGGCGCCGCAACTTATAATTGCATAAAATGTGAATTAATAAACTGTAATACAAAACCTTCATATATACCCACCTAGAAGATATTTGGTCACCCATCCAATGACCGATCACTGCGAAAGTTGCTTAACATCAACGATCGCAGCCGAACGCGCTAAGCATCCGCACCATCGAGCTCCTCTAATTAATTATATCAATTATATTCCATTTTAACAAATATAATTGGAATTACTATGAAACTACTACTTATACAATCAAAATGTATCTTCAGGAACTTCTTTTAAATTATTTCGCCATACTACGTTCCGTCTGGCTGCATTAAAAACAGACACATTTTGTATTATAGTGGTTCAAGGATTATCCGGATAGCGGTTATAAGAAAATCCACTTTTTTATATGTATGTTGTGTTTGTTAAACGTTCTTCGTTACGGCTGACTTAACTAAAACCATAGTTACCGTAAAAGAAACACGTTATACTTAATAACCATTTCCTTGGCAGTTTTTAGTAAAAAGTTACAAAATCGCTCTGTCTGCATAAATGACCTACAAACGCGTCAAAAATACTTATTTTTCTTAATAACGATGAATATGTTGACTGCTCAGTGTCGTAGAAGTTTCATATAAAGTGCATTTTTTCTCGTTGAAATATGTTTTTCTTGCTAAAATATACCTACAGGCCACACCACCTACAGAGGTAACCGAGATCCTTATATTAAAAGAATATTTAGGAGTATTACAAAATATACGGAAGTTATGTAAAGAAAATCCGACTGTCGTTAAAACATTGACCTCAAAAGTGCTAATATAAGTTTTATTTTTCGAATACGACGGGATATTTTTTATACAATCCAGGGACTTTTAAGGGCATCTTCCCATTACAAAATATTCCTACGAGTGCTTTAAAAATATAATCACTTTTCGTCCTATTCCAATAAATACACATTTTTTTTTGTTTATGTTTTTATGCGTGTGGCTGTAACAGGCGTGTTTTTTGTTATTTCATTTTTATTAATTATTAATACATACATACATGAAACCTGAAAGCAATACACTGTTTATTTGGCCAGACATATAATTTATTTAATTAGTCTTATAAGTTATATATTAGTTATTTTTTAATGGCAGTCGTGTTTTTGATTTTCTTAATCTATATATATAAAACTCAAAGGTGACAGACTGACTGACATAGTGATCTATCCCAGCCCAAACCACTGGACGGATCGGGCTGAAACTTGGCATGCAGGTAGATGTTATGACGTAGGCATTCGCTAAGATAGGAATTTGATGAATTCTACCCCCAAGAGGATAAAATAGGGAATGAAAGTTTGTATGAAACTTTGTCAATTTTAAACCGATCGGGCTGAGACTTTGCATGCAGGTATAAGAAGAATTATAGATGAATGTCATCGTGTATAATACAAGCCTGAGAACAAAAACTGTAGTCTACACTTCAGCTCTACATCGAAGCGAAGCGAGGGCGGGCTGCTAGTTTGCAATATAAACTTAATCCTAGTAGATAATTTATTATCTACGATCAGTTGTTTATCTATGAGTCAAGGGTTTCTAGCT